GGTTCAGTTTTGGTGGTGGCTCAAAGTCAGGAGGAAGGGACCGTTTCTCCTTCCTAAATTCTTTATTACTTTGAATTAGGGATATTTCTGCAAAAATGATTATCAGTTTTTGTTTTTCCCTTAGTGAATTTTCAGATGGACAATACTGGGACTTCACCACTGTGATAGGAATATATGTTAAAGATCACTCCCCCGGTGTAATTCAAACCATACTGTCAAACCTGGATAAAAGGAAAGCTGTCACAAGTTTCAACAAACACCAACCAACAAAGGAAAAGGCTATGGATATTTCACTTCCAACTGGATAGCTCAAATGAACACTCATTTATGTTTCTGGTTGGTAGATTGACCAGACTTACCTTTGGAGAACCGGACTTAAGGGCATGGCCATAAAGCATCAAGAAGTGCATTTACATTGTGGGTTTAGGGAGAGGTTGCTCTACGCTGACGTTTCTGTCTTTTCTGTACTGGCTGACTTTGGGAAATTCCATTTCAGACCAAGGTTTTTTTTTTTTTTTTTTTTTTTTTTTTAGGAGAAAGGCTCAAGTAATTTAATCATCCATGTAATTATATGTAGTTATATCTACATAATTATATACAATGTTTCAAAGTTGATGTAGAAATTGAAAAATTCTCCTTAAAAACATCACTTACTGCAGGTGCATACCAGCATTGGCTTCTTTTATGTGTGATGGGGTACTTACTAGTTAGCAAGAAATTTATTATCATTTCAATAGTTTTACATAGTTGGATTATATTCTAGTGCAAAGGTCATGTCTATTTTCCACTGAAAAACTGGAATGTTTTTAAGTTAGAGGTCTTGTCTTTTCCTGATTATACTTAATCATATGATTGGAAAGTTGCAAAATTCAGTGATTCCCAGTAGGCCTTCTGTTTCTTAAACAAATGAGTGTAATGCTGTTTGGCTGGTAGTCACTCAAAGTGGTGTTAAGCTGCAAAGTACTTTATCATTATTCTTCTAAGACCTTGGAATAAATAAATATCACCTGATAAACTTCTCCTCCAAGGTTATAACAGTTTTATAATTGCAAGCATTTAAAAAGCTAACTTCTGAAATTAATTTTTCTGTGACATGTCAAGTACTGAAACAAAAGGAAAAGTAGGAAACTTATTGCAAATATGTGGTTATTCATAGTTATTATGAAGGGTAGATAGTAACTTTCAGTACACTATACAGTAAAAATGTCTGTTTTTAAAAAAATGTAATTGCATGTTTCTAAAGCACCTTTGCAGATTCATTGGCACTCGGGCTGAACTTTGGTACCTTTGCCTTAGCCTTTTCTTTAATGGGTTCTGATTTGAATTGAGTAGTGTTTAGGGTATTTTTTTTTCCCCGCAAGTTTGTCCTTGATATGTGAGGAGGATAGACCCAGCATGTCTAGTTTCTGGAATGAAACTACCTGCAAACAATCTATTTAATTGTGCAAACCATTATTTTGTGCCTAAATGCACATGTTGGAAGTGTAATCAGTTCCTTGAACAATTAGAGCAATACATTTAAAGGACCTAAATAGGCATTATCCCACAGTTCCTCTTATGCTGTTAGCTGTGCTAAAATATGACATTAACACAACATTCAATATTTACCAGACTCAAAGTGAAATAGATGCTAACCTGAGCTAGGAGATAATACTTATCTCTCAGGAATATGAGGAACTGGCTAATTTTGAGACCTTGCATTTTCATTCCTTTATGGATAAATCTTGTCCTAGATGGCTGGTGTAATCTAGGAGGGTAAGTAATGCTATTCCATAAATCCAAACTAGTTGGGATTTATGATTTCTAAATGTACTTTCAAAATCATATTTAAGTTCAATCAAGCTGCCTAAAATATAAACTGTGGAGAGGAATAAATAAAAGATGGGCCACAAAGGAACGCAGTGGTTTTGCTTCCTTTTCTTAAAAAAATTTTTTTTTCTTTAGCTTACTTTGGGTGTTTTAGTAACTCCTTAGCCTGTTTGCACTGCTATAATGAAGTACCATAGACTGGGTGGCTTACATACAACAGAAATTTCTTACAGTTCTGTAGGCTGGGAAGTCCAAGATTAAGGCATCAGCAGATTCGGTGTCTAGTGAGGGCCCATATCCTGTTCATAGATGGCATTTTCTCATTGTATCCTTACGTGGTGGAAGGGCTAGCTAGTTGGGACCACTTTTATAAGGGATCCGCCCTCATGATCTAATCACCTCCCAAAGGTCCTACCTCCTAATACCATCACCTTAGGGGGTTAGGATTTCAACATGAGTTTTGGGGGGCCATAAACATTCAGATCTTAGCAAGGATGTTGGCAAAAAAGAGCCACTGTCACATACTGTATGTAGTTGAGGCTTAGTTTTCTTTTAAGGAATAGGTTTGACAGTACTGGTTGATGGCAACAGATAGAAGGGCAAGGGGCTCATTTAGGAAAGATAAGAGGGATGCGAAGGCAATGTAAAACACTCTGCTTTCCAGCGTTTCTAGCTGACCTTTGTCATTCATTTTGGGCTTCAGTACTATGACCAAAGATTCTATTCCTCAGCTAAGAATACTCTTAGTAATAAAAAAGTCATTATACTCTTTAAAGATGACATAATATATGTAACCCTGACTTGATTTCATATACTGTGGAATCTTCTGTCTTCTGGAATCTTGTCTTGAACAACAAATTATAACATCAGATGTAAATATGACTCATATACCAGTTAGCAACAAACATGGTTAGAGATTCTTTGAGCAAGCGTGAAAAGATGATATACTTAAATTATTTTTTTTTTCCTTTTTGTCTTTTTTCGTGACCGGCAACGGACCGCAACCCTCAGTGTCGCGCCCGTACCGGACCAGGACCGGCAACGGGATCGCAACCCTCGGTGTTGCTCCCACGTAATAACTTCGTATAGCATACATTATACGAAGTTATCGAGCAACAAACATGGTTAGAGATTCTTTGAGCAAGCGTGAAAAGATGATATACTTAAATTATTTTTTTTTTCCTTTTTGTCTTTTTTCGTGACCGGCAACGGACCGCAACCCTCAGTGTCGCGCCCGTACCGGACCAGGACCGGCAACGGGATCGCAACCCTCGGTGTTGCTCCCACGCCTCGCGCAGCCAGTGAGCGGCCGGTCTATATGTGGGATCCGAACCCTCGGCGGGAGCGCCGCCGCGCTTCCCAAGCAGCGCACTGTAGCAGTGCGCCACCGGGCCGGCCCCGATATACTTAAATTTAATCAATGTAGTATACTCTATAAAATGATTATTCTTGCAACAACCTCAATTATCTTATTATCTTTTATTGTTTAGGTCAAATCCATAGAATTCTATAGTAGTGTGATGTAAAATTGTCATTTTCCTCCCAATTTTTTTCTTTTTCTATTTCTCTGGCTCTAATTCCAACCAAAGTGAATAAATAGTAATTTAATCACACACACACACACACACGAATATTAGGAGCCTTATATTCTCTTTTGGAATGTGTCTCAACCACTTTTGTAGAAATAAACTAGATCCATTTCTGAAGTAATAGAACCTTTCTGGTGTTGTTGTCTTTTTGACTCTTTAGTAAACATGTAAAAATCTTCACTGCCTATGTTTTTTTTGCAGGGAGATCCCGGGGAAAGAAAGGGTCTTAGAATTGAGGGTGAGGTAGGAGATAAGGCTCCCATTGACATGTGGGAGTTGCTTGGCTGTGAGCTGCTTTCTGAGAACAGCATGGAGGGAGAGTCTTTAGAAGTGGCTAAAATACTTCTGAATCATATGAGTGTTCGGCTTGATTAAAATTCCAAGTTTTCTTTGACATTGTGGCTGATCTCTTGACTATTTTCACTTGTGGTTCTCCTAATGTGCTTTTTTTTTTCTTTTCTCTTCTGGGGGTGGTAAGAGGTCTATAAATAATACCTTGTATAGAGCTTCCTCTGATCTCTGCCCTTTGCTCTCATCTTTAGTGAGTTAGGTGAGCATTTAGCTTTTCCTAGGAAAACATTTTTCAATCATTAAACCGTTGGGTGAAGAATGTAGGAAAACATTTTTTAACCCCTTCTTTTATCTTTTTAAATAACTTTCAGAAGGTTCAGAGTGAAAGAAAGAAGTGTTCTGGTTTGGGTCATGATGAATAGAAAAATGATGATGCTTTCCTGTTTTCCTTTAACAGTGCAGGAAGAGTCTATATGTGTAGTACATGGGATGTAAAGTCTGTAGACTGTGTTTTCCTCTGATTTACATTAAACTTTTTGTATTGCTATACATTGTAAGTTATCAAAATGTCTAGGAGTCTTGGACAGCAGAAACTATACAAGAGGATTATTTTTTCCATTATTAAGGTTAATAGGATATCTGTTATAATAAGAATAGATCCATTGTTCACTGAACTTGTGTATTTTTAAACACGTGGAATCAAACTTGAAAGGTAAAGCTTCTGTTAGAATGTCAATGAAAGGGGAAAATGTGTCAGCGGAGAAATATATTGAAATAAGACACCGAGAAGAATGCTGGCTCTTTGAGCATTAACAAAGATAAATTTTACATTCCTCTTACCACTTCACACATATTTTTCATATATTTGACATAAATATTGGTTCATCATTGATATTTCACCTTATATAAATTGCCTTGTGAAGTCACAACAGAATTCTTACAATATTGGCTATTTTTATACATTCTAGGCTCTATTCACATGGAGAATTTTGAAATGCGTATTTTTCTGCCTTATTTTGAAAATTTAGTTAAATAATCATCCTTAAGGATTTCATGGTTACATATAGTAAGACATAAAACCAAGGGTTTTGGCTTTATTTCTCTCTGACTTTAAGGGAAGAAGTGGTCTAGTGACTGTTTGGATGTGTTTATGAAGATAACATAATTAATGATATAATAAGCTATTAAGACTTCATGAAAGGAGACATTTTGGAAGTGCTGGTAAAGGTGGAGATGGAGGAGTTGACATTGCTATTTTTAGAGGAGGTTCGAACACTTTTAATTGCTTTTCACTAATCTCATCTTCCCTAGGTGGATAAAGTTTGAAGAAAAAGTGGAACAGGGTGGGGAGAGATGGAGCAAGCCACATGTGGCCACGTTGTCCCTTCACAGCTTATTTGAGCTGAGGACATGTATGGAGAAAGGATCCATCATGCTTGACCGGGAGGCTTCTTCTCTCCCACAGTTGGTGGGTAAGTATGCTGGTCTATGTTCCTATTATTTTTTCATCTTTACCTATCCATGAGTGTCCATCAGTGCAGATGAATAGTAGTGTAAGCAGAGCTGAATATTCTATAACATTTTTTCTGTCATTCTTATATTTTAAAACTAATGTGGTTTATTGCATAAAATTCAGAAAATACAAATATTAAAAAAAATCATTCATAATACCTCTCTTTAGTCATAGCCATTGTTAATGTTTTGGAACATTTCCTTCCAGATTTGTTTCTTAATCTTGTCTCTTATGCTTTTCATTTTTTACATTATTTTTTTATTACAATTGAGATCATATTGTATATGCACAGATTTGTATTCACCTCCTTCACTTATTAGCATAAGATTAATATTTTGAATAGAGTCTCTTCACCCACCCATTCTTGGTTATGTCAGACTGGAAGTATGGACACTAGATTTCTAGAATTTTTTGACCTTAGGCATTGCACTGAGCTTCTCTGGACCTCAGTTTTATCATCTGTGAAATAGACCTTAAATCCTCTGTAGTCTAGTTCCTGGGTTGGGGCTGATTGTAGGTGGAAGTCAAGTCCCTGTAGCTGTTTGTTGAGAAAGGTTGTGTGGGGAGGGAGCCGACAGGACCTTATGGGTTAGTGACTGAGTCAGGTCACATTGGTACCATGTATCATTTGTATCACCACCAGCAGTCACTGAACCTCATGGCATAGGGTAGCTTTGGCTTCTTTTGGAGTTAGTGTTGTGTGCAGTGCATGTTAACTCATCATGCTGAACACCTTGGGCACACATCACTACATTCTGAACTGGAATAATTGTTTTTGTTTACTAACAAGAGCCTGGCCTAAGCTGCCTCATTACCCTTCAGATCTCAGTGGGCCAAAGATCATGTTTTCCTTAAAAAGAGGCTCCACTTGTTATTCCTAGGAAAATTTTATAGCCAGATGACTGCTGGACATGTAGGGATGACTGCAATTTCCCAAGGTGTCGGCAGTGCACCTACTCTGGGATTGTGAGCAAGAGGATGTGGATCGTGGATCTGCAGACAGTGACCAGTGTAACATTTTCATGTAATTTTAGATTTACCTCAAAATTTCGATGTATATCTGTAGACAAAAGGCTTGTCTGTGGCATCTAAGTATTTATAGATAGTTGGAAGTCTACAACATTCATTCTGGTAGAAAAGATTAGCTGTCAAATGATTATCTGGCCGGTGTACATACTTGTATACCTGGTTCTTCTTCACAGAGCCTCTTAGTTAGGTTTGCAAAGAAGCTCCATGCTTTTCATGCATCTGAAGTACTTCAGGTACAAGTGGAGAGGGGAGAAAGACTAAAATGAAGATGCTGGATGAACAGCAATAATTATTTCATGCATTTATTCAGTAGAGGTACATGAGCTTGTGCAATGTGGCAGACACTGTTTTAGGCCTTGGAATTAGGTTTGCAAATCTAACACTTCGTAAACGGGGTAAGTTACAATTCCACATGGTACAAATCTGCATAGGTGGTTAGAAGATAATGGAGGAAATACTGCTGTATGTAGAATTTTTCATATTGGACAAGGCAGTTGAGGCTAAAAATGGAAATTTGTTATATGAGGAGAGATCTTGGATTATGGTACCCAGGGAAAATGGAGCCCATCTACAAAGACAGAGAGAAGCAAACAAAAGGAATGGTTTTTGGGCAATTTGTTCCATTGACTTTTCTCATTTGTGGAAAGTTGGAAGAGAGACTGTTATCCAAAAAAGTACCATGGTTAGCAAAAATTAGTTCAGTTTTTGAGTGACAATTATAATCTCTGAATTTTCAGACTTTAAGAACTAACCTAGAGCAAAAATGTCAGAAGTTACACAAGTTGAAAAATAAGTCAGAAGTGCATAAACACAGAGCAAACTGGCAAAAAAACTTGTGACTAGGCAGTGTACAGGTAATCTAGAAGGAGAATATGAATCACCAGAAAAGTTCCCATATTAAAAACACTAATCCTACCATAGGTCATTCCACTGAGCTTAGAGTTTGTCCTCTATAAAAATATACATACTCCTTGGAAGGGGTCATCTATTTTTTCCATGAGATGCAGAATGTTATCATTGAAAATATGCTGGATTTAAAGTTGGAGGATTTTAATTAAAGTCTACCCCTGCTAGCATGGGCAAGGTAAGTTATACTTACTTCTTTAGGAGGCTTGGTCTCCTCATTTATAAAAGCAGGATAATGCTGGACCTTTCAGGGTTATTATGAAAATTAAACAAGGTTATTTGATGTAATTATTACATACTTATATATCTATCCCAGTATAAATTAGTTTATCCAGATCTTTCTACATGTCATCTAGTGGAGGGCCAAGTGCAGACCGATTGAGACAGGGAGAGAGATGCTAGAGACTTCACAAGCAGGAGAAATGATTCTGAAAGGTGTGGTGGGCAGAGCTGGAAAAAATTGAACAGCTTCTTTGCTGTGCCTGGAGCTGATGAACAAGGCGGTGAAAGTTAAAATTGAATTACACACTTGGGCTTTTCTGTAAAACTGTCTTCAGGATCTTAAGCACCAGAGAGAGACATCTTAAGGAGTGTATGATCTTCAGCAACTAACTGACCCTTCACCTGTAGTAGAATACAGAGTCCCACAGTACACTGGAACCTCTTTAGCCAGTGGCCAAAGAGAGAAGTTCTGGTATTTGCTATGTTTAAAAAAGACTACATTCTCACTTTAAATTTCCATTACCTTATAGTATCAGCTGTGAACTTTTTCTCTAACCCCCATGCATTCACATTAAAAATTGTCATTACATGTTAAAATTAGACACTGCTAGGTCACTTTGAGGTATCATCACTCACTAATACGTTTGCTCTGCAGTCCCTGGGGCAAGCAGGCAGACAGCCAGTGCTGTCATTCTGGAGCTGATAATACAGAAAAACAGTTCAGAGGCAAATACATATCACAAGCAAAACAGAGGGGAAAAAAGCCCAGATTTTTAGAAGTGGGGGGAAGAGCATGTTTGAAAGAGTATAACTGGCTAAAAAGTAAGACTTAAAAATCCTCTGAAAGAATTAAAACCTTACAGAGGTTAAAACGTGAAGGAAAAAAAGCCCTCATTTCATTTTAAATGACAAGATGGCATAGTAACTTCAAGAGTTATAGATTATTTGGTTATTTAAAAAAAGTCCTTTTCTAGCAGAGGATGAAGTGGAGTTGTTTTGTCCTGAATCATGCTGATAATGCTGAGTCGAGAATTAGGCACAGCTAAGTCTTGTGACACATTCCCCCCCATGCCCCAATTTTATCTCAACAAATAAGAGAAAGAAGTAATAGCAAGTGTGAACACACCAAACAAACAATAGCATGATTTTCATCCCTTTTTGCAGTCCTCCTGCTACTCCTCCACCTGTCTCTGAGAGGCACCTGCCCTGCCAAGCTGAGAGGCAGCTCCAGGTGAGGGCCACGGACAGTGGGTGACTGTTTAAGCAGGTGTCGTTTCTCACAATTACATGACAAATTCAGCCAAAGTTTTATTCTTCTCAGAAGCTCTATTGCTATTTTTTCATGAAGAACTCCTTCTGAATGCTAATAGAAAAATTTATCTTTAAAGTATTATAAAGGATAAAACATCATTTTCACCGATTATTTTAATAGCTTTATTATTAGTATCATCATTGTAATTCTACATTTAAAAAGTGTCATTCACATATGAAGCCAAGTTCATGAGACTTTTCCTCCCTCTTAAGTTAAAAAAATTATAAGCCATTTCAGGTATTTTATTATGATGGGAAATGGATTAAATTGTAGCTCTATTTTTGAAGTTCTCATTTTTATATTTAAAGGCATTCCTGAGCTGCGCATGTTGGCAGATGTGTTAGTCCTGTTTTTTCTTGCTTTTTACACCTTTTATATTTTCAAAATGGCAATATCGTTATTGTTTTTTTCCTAATCACAAAGCAAATATATGTTCATTTAAGAACAATCCAGAAAAATTTAACACACAAAAATTAAAATACTTACTAATTCAACCTTTCAGAGCTATACTCATTTTTTCTATGCAACTGTTTACACATTTGTAATTTATTTTACAAAGAGAGATCATACTACATACATCACTTTAATCTGCCTTTTTTAAACTTAAAAAATAATGTGAATATTTTTCTGTTATTAAATATAAATATAAACCTCATTTTAATGGCTGCAAAATATTCAATAATCTACTGTTGGACAATCAGGTTGCCTTCAAGTTTTCACCGTAAAGAAAAGAAGTGAACATCTTTGTTATATTTTTGAGAACTTGTTTGATTATTTTCTTAGTATAGATTTCTATTCTTTTCTCATTGACATCATTCAATAAAGATTTATTGAGCACCTATTGTGTACCAGGTGCTCTTCTGAGTATAGGGGATACAGCCACACAGACACACACAAATAGTTTCTAATGGTAGAATATTCAAAAGATTTGAACATATTAAAGTGTTTTGATAGGTACTTGCCAAAGGACCTTCAAGAAAGGTTGTATTAGTCAATACTGTCATGACCAGTATATGGACTTGCCTCCTGTACACAGCCTTTGCATCACAGGGAGTTGATTCATCTTTTTAATTTTTACCACTTTGAGAGATTTTAAAAAATCTCATAATTGGTTATGTTTATATACATTTATTTAAATTGTCTTTGTTAACCTTGAAGTTGAATATATATATATATATATATTTGCCATTTTTCTGTTGTATGTCCATCTTCTTCTTGGTTTGCAAAAGCTCTGCATATATCAAATCTTTGTTTGTATAGATCTTACTTTTTAAATAAAGAAAAATATTGTGTGATATGGAGAAAGATCTAAACTCTGAATCAGAAAACCTGGTTTTATTTGGGGGTTTTGCCTCTAATTAGTCTGTATCTGTGGGCGAGTCACTTCTCTAGCCCTCTCTTTTCTCATCGGTATAACAAGAGGTTGAACTTGCTCCCTGAGGCTCCTTTCAGCTCTGCTATCATCTAGAGTTGGCACATTCTCTCCCAATTGGTAGCATCTGTGGGATTTTGAACACTGAAGGCTTAATTTCAGTGTGGCTGTGAAATGTTACTGCCCCCACTGTCTTTTGCAAGGTTCAGTAGTTTATGCTTAAAAGAGATCCCTATAATGTGGGCCATTTTTATGGACACTTAATGGAGGGCATAAACCACACAGATATTTTAACCTGTTCTAACTGGTGATTTCCAGGCATTAGTAACAGAGGGCCGGCTGCGCATACCCATGGATGGGTCTGAGATTTCAAGGGAGGGCAAGAATAGAGGGAGGCCCTGCTGGAGAGTTTAGACAAGAAACACTTTAATCCACAACCCTGGAATTAGAGTAGGAGTTTGATAACACTTGCAGCAGATATGCTGGTGCTGTTTATTTATTTTTATGGTTCTTCTGGAAAATGGACCATGTTGAATAAGACTTAAAGGGAAGGTAGAGGGGTTGAGTTCTGTAGGCACCTAATTATGTTACCGGTTAATTGTAATTACAAGATCAGTTTTGAGTATTTTACTGAGTGGTATTTACATGGTTAAAAATACATAGAAATTAAAGCTGCTCTCAAACCAAACAGTATTATGAGAGAAACTCTTCCTACTTTGCCCAGGTCTCTTACCAAATGGCCCTGGGTTATGTAACATTTATGGCATCTGTGTAAGGCATGTGTTGGAAAATTCCAGATTCAGCTTCAGCTTAGCTTCCAAATAGTTGGTTGTACACTGTGTAAATTGCCAGTTTCTAGGTAAACGCGCCAATTCTGGAGTGCTTGCTATAAAAATGAAATTCCGAGAAGTGCAGGTATGCCCAAGGAAAGCCCCTTGAACATCTATAAGTTCTCTTTACAAAGTGGTAGATATCTTTGGAGATGCTGTTATCCTACCAGTACCCATCAATTTTCTTGCCAGACTTTCAGAAAAAAAAAGTTTAGCTTTTCTTCTCTTCTTTTAGAAGAGCAAAGTATAGCTTTTTTCCTCTTCTCCACTTTTGTATACCGAGAAATTTGCCCAGGAGGGAAATATGGATGTGTGCTGGATGCATCTGTATATCAGAAGTGGGCATGGAACCTGTTGTTCTGGGGACCAAAGCTGTACTTGCACACAGTGAGGTAGCTTCCTGCCAATGTGTATCTTGCTCAGATTCTGTAACGTTTTGTCCTCAGCCCCATTCTGTGGGAGACAAATATGTTGGCCTGTTATGTAGATGTTAGAGTAGGATGCACCGGACTACATTTATGCCATACTGCTGACATGCTGGCTTGTGAGAAAGAGGATTTCTTATTTCCTCTTAAAGTAAGAACTTGTCCTTCAGCAGAGCATATGGAGCAATTTCTATGTAACACAGTCATCTTATTTAGTTAAAACCACACTAAAAAAAAGAGCTATTAGAAACTTTACATTTTTTTATAGTGAGATTAAGATATTAAAATTTTATAGAAAGTTCTAGTCAGGATATACTTTTTAAAAATGGCCAATGGAAACATATTGGAAAAGTTTCAGATGGACCTAAACAAGAATAAACCTCCCTTCTTATTAAAGACTAAGGAAAAATTTTGTAGTTTAATCTTCCTTTCATTGTATTAATTGGTATTCAAGTGACCTGATATTGAGAAAGGTATTGTTTTCCTTTACCTGATTCTGTTATAAAGAAAATATAACATTACCAAAGAATTTGGGAAAATAGATTTAAAAAATCAATAAGCTCACTACTTTAAATTTTAAATATTTTCTTTGGGTTTTTTTCATATTCTTTATATTTATGATAATTTGCTATCATGGAGCAAATGAAATTTTTGAACCTTACTTCTTTAACTGGAAAATGTAAATTACTGACTATGACTTACAGAAGAATGTGACTTATATGAATTCATTGTAACTGGGATTGAAAAAAAAAGAAACAAGATGATTCTGCCTCTCCAAACATATAACTAATACTGGATAACTCTCTCATTAACGCCAATATCCCTGAACCTTGTAATTTTATCTTTCACATAAAGTGGAAAGTTGAAAATTGGGAAAATAATATATTGATATTAAATTTGAGGGTGACATCCATAAACTTAGAGTAAAAAGTTAACTTCATGGTCTTGTGACTGAGTTTTGCTTTTTGTTTTGTTTTGCTTTGTTTTTGTGGCAGAGATGATTGTTGACCATCAGATTGAGACAGGCCTACTGAAATCTGACCTTAAGGATAAGCTGACTTATACTTTGCTCCGGAGGCACCGGCATCAAACCAAGAAATCCAACCTTCGGTCCCTGGCTGACATTGGGAAGACGGTCTCCAGTGCAAGTAGGATGTTTACCAACCCTGATAATGGTAATGCAGGGGCCGGCTGGCTGCTGCCTTCTCTTATCTTTCTCATTCACCTTTACTCCACCTCTTGTCATCTTTTTTTTTAAACCCCTCTTCTTTTCTCGAGTACATATGCCACAGCCATTTCATAATGACACTTTTTATCCAATGGGGTAGGTTTGAAAGATTTCAGCAGTTATTATTGGCTGCAAGTGCCATGGTGCCTGGCTTACTCCATAAACATCTTTTCTGATGGACTGAGATGGTTTGGTAATAACTCTGATGAAAGAACTGAATATTTCAGGTGAATCAGCAACCTTGTAGATTACTGAGCATATCAGGTAATATGTTTTTGACATGGTGGTTTACAAGAATTAGGAGGGTGTAGTGAGATATGATAAATACCTTGAAATCTCATATCGTAAAGTGTTTGCTTGGTTTGCAAGATGGTTTCCAACCTATAAACGATAATTTCATCAAAGTAAGAATATGTATTATTTTTATCATTTAAAAAATATGTTCTTTTGATATACGATAATGATAGCCAGATGAGAGAATAATTATTCAAGATGGGATAGTTCATGATTGGGTACAATCTGAGAAGGGAAAAGTCAGTTTCCATGAAGTATGGAAAACGAAGGCATGGTGGAAAAGTTGCTGAGCATTGGGTTAGTAGAACGAAGTCTAGACTCCTGTCCCACCCCCAGTCTTTTTTAGTATTAAGAGAAATAAGTAGGGAGATTCTAATTCATTGCCCTCAGCTGCACTTTCAGAACAACATAGAATATATTGTCATGGAAAATGTGGATTAAGTGAATTGTGTAAAATGAATTCCAACTCAGCCACTCTGTTTCTGGAAATGGGGTTTTCTGACTTAATATTAAAGTTGATGGTTGGCTGGAGGAAAGCTTATTATTAGCAGACTTTCTCTAGTATTTTTTTTAAAGCAAAAATGGTTATAAACAAATAATTTGAGTAAAAATGCTCTTTATAAAAAATACTCACAAAAGAGAGAATCTAATCTAGAACATTTCTACTACAGTTTGATGGTTCTACAGTTACCTGGACTATTGCTGCTGACAGGAAATGTTTTGATTTTTGTGTGTCCCCTATTTTTTTTTTAATTGTGTTTTTAAAGTGAGGGGTTGTTTAATAGCTGGAAAGGTTATAGGATGAACAGTTTATTATACTTGATGTCACAAATATTTCATTTTAAACAATAATCCATAGTTTTGAAATTATGGCAATTAAAGTTGACCTACCTCTTTTATATCTTTATTAATAATAATCCTCTTTCTCATATAAAGTGAAATTTCAAGATTTGGAGATTTATTTTATCATGGGGTTGATGATAGTATGAAAAAACAAGAAAGTGCCTTGTTTTCAAATATTGCTGTATTTTCAAAGAGAAGAGGATGAATGTTGCAGTCAGAATGCTTTCTACCAGTATGGTAAACTTCATATTCATGGACTTTAAGGTGGAATAGAAATTAGAAGCAGATGGGGTCTTGGAGCTCAGTATCTCTGCTTTAGGAAGAATTATTTGGATGTGGAATACAACTGAGTTGATATCAGTCACCATTCAATCTTTTACCCTATTGGTAGATCTCTGTATTCAGAAGAAAGTTGAAATTGCCTTTGTCATTCACCTTTTCGCTTGTGAAATGTTATATATGCTGGGCAGAAAGCAAATAGGAAGGGCAGGCAGTTCTTTTCTGGCTCTTCAGCTGATCAGCTTACACCCCGGAGCATGGAATAAGATTAAGCCTTTTAAAACATGTTATTATTGGCCTTTGTGTAACCTAACTCCTTCTAAATACCTGAGGTGAGATTTGGCTTTGAGAGATCCTATAGCAATGAATTTCATGTGCCTCTGAGGTACATTATTATCAATTATCAGATGGAAAATTTTTGGCTTTCTAAAGGTGCTTATTCTTAACTTGCAAGTTAGCACAATTACCTTTATATCTTAGTGTTTAATTAATATCTTAACAACTATGAAATATCTTAATATCTTTAACAACTATGAAATCTTAGAATAAATTTCTAAAATAAAGAATTATAGAACTATTGCTAACTTTGGGATGGCCAATTAGCTCAGTTGGTTAGAACACAGCCTTGTAATACCAAGGTCAAGGGTTTGGATCCTGGTACCAGCCAGCTGCTAAAAAAAATAAAAAACTAAACTAAAATAAAATATCAAGAAATAGTGCTAACTTTAAGAAGCCGGAATCTTATATCTATTGTAGTTGGAGCTAAATTATAATATTTCCGTGTAAAACCTAGATAAACTTGTCACCTTAGTCTTCAATCATAGGCTAGAAAATAGACTCAGTGACTACCAGCTTTAGTTATGCTAGCAACAATGTAATAAATAGCTGAAATTTATGGGGAGATACCACAGAGTTGGGAACTTTTTCGTTTCCCCGTGGTGTGCTGGGTCCAGCTTTTATCTACTCACAAAAACCAGTTGTTATCAGGAATTTTACAAGCTGGCTGTTAAATGCAGCTACTATTAAAAATTAAATGATATAAACATACAATTGAATAATTATATTAAAAACAAAGGTAATAAATACACAAAATTCATCGCTTCCTATATCACTACATTTTAATCTATGCTCTTGAGGTTTTTTCCATCTATTGTGTCTGTGTGGGGGAAACAGTATAAAATGGTATGCTACTGCACACCTCTTCCTAGATCTGCACCGTGTCTTTATCTTGGTAGCTTGAAATCAGTGATGATGACACCATAGAAATGAGCAAATGCTACAAATCAAGGCTTGATTTATTGTTTTGTCAGTTGTCTCTAGAATTAAAAAATTGATGGAGAAAATATTAATAATGCATATTAAAAGTGTGTAGTGTCCATAGCTGTTAAAAATGTGAATAGCACAAAAAAATTGAAGAAAATTATTGCCAGTAATGACAAACTATTATCCAATTTAGCAAAGGAGTCACCGACATCATTGATGAATAAGTGAAGTCTGATAAAGTCTTCACTGTTTCACTTTTATCTTACCTTTTTTTTTTTTAAAGATGACCGGTAAGGGGTCATCTTGGTGTTGTCAGCACCACGCTCACCCAGTGAGCAACCGGCCATCCCTATATGAGATCCGAACCCATGGCCTTGGTGTTATCAGCACCACACTCTCCTGAGTGAGCCGCGGGCTGGCCCTTATCTTACCTTTTAACATACATGATAATATTAATCAACATGGATGTTGGAACTATGTTTGTTTGCCAGATGCAATTATAAGTTAGCTACTGATGAAAGAGCTTGGCAAAGATCACAAAAGCCAGGTGGAATCAACTGGCGATATGCAATTCACAATAGAGCATTGTGCATTTTATTATTATTGTATAATAAATTGTTCAGTAATAATATTATTTGTACAATGTGTGCTACATGTAATTTGTATCAGGAAAATTCACTACACACACAAAGACACATCACACATTCACACGTGCACATATATATTTTTTCCCCTTGAAACTGATTTACAAACATTTTACCAGCACATGCACTACCAGCACACTGCTGTCATCCATAAAGACCAACACTCATCTTTTAGGATCCAGGTGTGGCTTGAAGTTAAAGATGATTTAATGTTTTTAAAAAGAAACAAAAAACATTTTTACTTGTAACAAATCAGGGAAGAATCAGGCTAACTTCCAAGATGTTAATTATTATGAAATTGCCATTTGTCCACTTGTCTGAGACATCTGTGAATCTGATGGACATGTCTTCCAGGTACTAAATTTTAGGCAAGTGCTTTAATTTTTCAATATATTAATTGCACAAATTAATGAGGTTTTAGTTTCCTCTGGTGTTGGATTTTCCTTTACCTACTCTATATTTCTTTCTATTATTTTAGGTTGAACTACATGAAATTACCATTTTTGTGGATAAAATATCAGCAATTTCATATAGTTCTACCTAATAATTTGACCTGAGGTCCTTAGATTATAGTTCTGTATTATTTTAGTTTGTTATGAAAGAGTAATGTGTAAGCCTGGAAACAATCCTTGGTAGTATTTTAAAAATCACATAAGATGTATTTAGTTTGCTTTTTATTAGAAAGTGAAAGTAAAGTTTATATTTAATTGGTATTCATTCACTAAATATTTAGTAAAATGTTTATCACAAGGTTAACTGATAACTGCATTTAAGAAATCATGGTTTATAGGGTCATCAGATTTAAAAAATTATTTCCATTTAAATGGATAATTTGATGTGAATTATTTTACCCTAAAGCTTACAAAAGATGAATGAGACCTGATTTAATGACCAAAACCAACTAGAGCCTTACTTTGAGTACTCACCTTTCACTATTGTATTAGTCCATTTCTGTTGCTTATAACAAAATATCTGAAACTGGGTGATTTATAAAGAAAAAAAATTATTGCTTATAGTTTCAGAGGCTGGGAAGTCCAAAGTCCAGGGAACACATCTGGTGAGGGTCTTGGTGGGGTCTCACATGACAGGAAATTGTGGAGCAGAGAGAGGAATAGTTCTTCATGCATTGTCCTTTTATAGCCCTCAGAACCATGCTCATGACCACTATTTTTAATCCACTCACTAGGAATGGTCCTGCAGTCTGATCACCCCTTCAAGTCCCCACCTTTCAATTACCATAATAGGATTTCCCACCCTCAATATTACAGTGGGAAGTAAGCTTCTAATATATGAACTTTGGGGGCACAATTCAATCCATCCACAGCAGCTACCTTTGTGGAAATTTGGATAAAGTCATCATCAATTTGTCCCTGATCTTTTCCTGGCTTCTTCATTTTTTTGCCCCTAGGCTATGATAAAGATCAGTACCTTGCCCTCTGTGGTCTGGAAGTATAGATATCCTTTGTCGAGAATTAACTTTGGTTATTCAGTCGGGCCTAGACTATAAATTTCATTTTCCCCCAATCCAATTTCATGAGCTCATTTTTTATTAGTGGAAAGTTTTCTTTTTTCTGATAAAAAATTGGAAAGGTAATTTAGTACTCATTTTTGATGTTTCTAAAAC